ATCATTTAAATATATGTACTTAAATCATTTTGTTCAAATAGAATTATATAAAATTACAAAGATATATAATTTTATCAAGAAATGTGAAACTCTCTTAAGAAGAAAATTGAATTCTTAATTTATTTCTAACTAATTTTTTTAAATATTAAAAATTACATTATTTTTTAAATATATATTCTCATCTGCTCTAAAAATTATAATTTTCTTTCTTATAAAGATATTTTTGAATGTTTATGAGCAATACCTAGTAATTGCATCAGAACAACATTACAAAATTATAAACTAAAACTATAAATAAAAATGTAAATAATTTGGCTTTTCAAAAATTTGAAATAAATCTAATTAAAAAGTAACTTCATATACCTATTGTCATTCATTGAATATTTGTAAATCGCATCTAATTTTAGTAAAAACGCGTTATTCTCCAGAATTCTAGATTCTTAGGAGTAAGCAAAGGAATGTTGATCTCCGCCAAAGAATAATCGTTCAGGAAGAAAACATTTAAGGGACATTAATCTCATGATTCCGCATGCACAATTTTGACTTCAACGAGAGAAAATGTTTGGTCGAGCGCTGTCGCTTCTTTCGACCGTTGTGAAACAAAACGGCATTACTAGGACGAAGTATTGCGAATGACTCCACTTTATAATGGCTCTTTATTAAGAGCGTTGCCAACAATTTCACGGCCCATTGCACCGGTGGACAGTTTGGTAAAATGCCGAGCGACCGTCATAAATCCAATTCCGGAAATCGGCTTCGTAATAATACGTTATTTTATCGAGCTCGCTTTCGTGCTACAAAATGTCATATCCACGTACGGTATGTATCCACATATGAGCAACTGCATTCGTGGATGCCGCGCGTACGTATATGACAGAGCGTGCCTCCGTCGGAAATAGGCCGGTCTTGTTGGCGGTGGTAACAGTAAATTGCGGTGCCGCGCGCTTAACACTGTTAACGGACTACGACTTCGTTAGTCACCGTCGTCCGCTTAACCTCAGCGGTGACACTTCTCCAGTGGCACCCAAAAGCCCGTTGCACAAGAGGCTGCACTTTACCGCGAAACCAGCGTGATTACGCGGTAGAATAAAACCTCAAAAAATAGCAGTATTGATTTAGTCAATCGTGATTCAAGAATAATGTAAAAAATAGTATATTTTCTCTGTATAGTGCAGGATTAAAATAAAAAAAACAAAAAATTAAAACGCACAAGAATCCAAAATAATTATATATATATACACCAATAATTATATCAATAAAATAAAGCATCTTGTTATGACGAAGAATCAGAAATGAATTAGGAAAAGACAGTGCTATGATTTTCAGACGTTGAAGGTTTGAAATACATTTCATCCTATTAGTAGGATGAATAACAAATCGATTATGGGAGAAGCATCGGTTATCGGTGAGGAGGTCACGAAATGCAGCACGATCTAACTTTGATCTCGTTTCAGGAACGGGCCGCGGATTTCGAAATTGGAATTCTCGGTCAGATAGCACGTACGGTCTCCGGCTCCATTGGTTAATGCAGTAATACCCAGCAGGTTGTGGATTCATCCGATCGGCTTGTACACCAGTGTACACACTAACGTACATCGCAATGTCGACGGTATAATCGTGGAACGCGGAACAATTGCTCAATACCTATGATACAGCCGTGAGAATAATCATTTCGTTGTGCTGCCAGAAATACCAACAGAGCCTCTTGCATCCGTCATTCTCTTTTCACAGTTCTCTCGTCGTATCTTTCGCCCACGTAATACGTACCCCCATGTATCCGCCATTTGTCACGGAATATTATGCATCGAGCGACCACGCGTACTCGACCGGCATAAGGAACACCGATAGATACTCGAGTTTGGATATTACTCGTGTTTTATCGCCTCGCGCGGTCCACCGAGTTCGAGAGTTAACTCCGATCACGCTCTCGCGAGCTCCCGAGTGGAGAGTTAGAAAATCGCTCGGCTGACTCTCGGGGTCTAATGCGCGATTTACCGGCGGACCATGCGGAATCATAGATTATAGTTAATATCCCAGAATTGAACTTCGCGCAATGATAAAGAAACGTCATGTGACGAGAGTACTTAAGTTCTCTGTAACTGCATGTTTTGAAAGAGCTTAAAAGCATCAAATAATGTTAATGATTTTCTTGTTAAGGATTCTATTTGTTCAACATAATAGTGACAATTGATATAATCATGGAAACTAATCGTATATGTCTAAAGAAATTTAAATAATGTGCGTATATGTCTAAAGAAATTTAAATAATGTGCGTAAATAATTATATCGACGTATGCTAAGATTATTTCTTCCATAATCGTATAATCTTGATAAAATGCAACGAAAAATGTTTATTGATAATTCTAAAAGTGAATATTGTTTTAATAGTGCTTGATATACCTGCAAAAATTTTACATTGCAGTATTTTAAATTACGATTTATTTTCTCAATTTTCATTTCCGAGTAAAATGCATTCGAGAAGATGCCCATCACTTCTCGTATTCCGATGCTTCCGCAACCAAATTGCGGAAAATAATGTCTACCCTTTTAATGCATTAATATTTTCCTGAGAGCCATGGCACATAAACTCGCGCGCGTACATGTAAAATGCATTATGTGAGAAAGAAATTTCGGTCTGTAACGATATTTCTCGCGGCTCACATTTACGCCGCAATTAATGGAATTACACACAGAAGTTTCATCTCGGCTTTAAGCGCCAGACGTTCATGCCGCGCATGCAGGCGGTCATTATCCGGCAGGATTAAACCGTCCGTCGCTGCTGCACGAATTAATCGGTTAAGCGTTAAGCGGAATAACGTCTGTACGTATTAATGCGTACGGAATTCGTTACGAATAATATCCAACTATTTTCTTTCGCGACCGCCGGCGGCCAGCGCTGCCGCTAATAATCGCTTTAATTGCGCAACGCATTCGATTATGCATTTCATTCTGTAACATATTATATACTAGTATTATATATATACGATGTGCATTACAACTAACGATTATAAATTTTAAATGATTATACCAGAGTGCAAATGCGTGCATGCGCGCATGTGTGCGTATGTATACATGTGTATGTATACGTGTAATTAACTATGCATTTACATAAAGCTCGTAACGAATGGCGACAAAATTATTATGATCAGCTTTTCAGAATAGCTAACGGATTACAGCATCAGATTACACAATCCTCCCGACATTATCTTTTCTATCCCTATCGTTACTATCGATTGCCGACTATTTCTGACCAACCTGTACGAGAGCGTGCTGGAGATTCTATTGCACAAGACTATATACCGAGAGAGAGAGAGAGAGAGAGAGAGAGAGAGAGAGAGAGCTGCAAAATGCATAAGCATGTACCCATCGCGATTTACACGCAAATACAGCGCGTGAGGGAAGTCGGATAACACGAAAATGGCGGGTATCGACATTGCGGATTTCACAGTGGACAATAGACTGATCAAAACGTGCGACATTCGTTTTGCGTGTACTAGAACGAGCCAATCAGGCTGATGAGGCAAGCGTTGTACAAATGCATCCGTGCCATGTATACAGAATGTCCACAAACTTCTTTTTGCGGAAGATACCTATGCGAGAAACGTGTACTATCAGAGACAGAGAGAAAGAGAGACAGAGAGAGAGTTGATGTAGATTTTAATTAAAATTAAACTCAAATTAAATTTGTCTTTCCATATTAAAACATTAAGCTACAATTCTTATTTATTCACAATGAACCCGTTCGGTATGGCAAACACAATAAATCGCAAAGTAGCAGCAAATATATTGATCAATATATCAATTTGCCAGGAACAGTAGACTACAAAATTTAATAAATGCCAGATTTTTAACGTGTGGTACCACTATATACAAAGATATATGTATATTATTTATTTTAAAAATCAAAAACTTTAAAGATTATAATAATTTATGTAAAAATAAAGATAGAATTTATATTTTTAAAATGTCAAAACGACAACTAGAGAATTAGTCGTTCTACGGCCGTAAAAAGTATTTTTCGGATAACGACTTAACATTTATTCGGATAACATTTTCGATAATGTTTGTTAACTTTTTCGTATATCTTAAAAACATTTACATAACATCTTTATATTAAATGCCGTAAATTAACTTTAGATTTTTGTTTAGTTTCATTTATGATGTTAATTCAGTATATCTGTTTCCTCTTTCTTTCGCTCTTCTCGCTCTCATATTTCCGTAATACACGTTTTTCTATTTTCAGATCTTTATTATATGCACATTTACATTTTATATGTGCACTTTTTGTATTTTCTTATACATTTTCACATACTACATGTCTTTATAATGGATTTATATAACGGATATTTTCTTTTAATATACCTAAGCTCAAAAAATAATATAAAATGTAATTCTAAGTTATTATATTTTCTTATTTTCCGAAAGTTCCCATACATCCTATTCAAACACGGCAAAATATAATCGACAAGACAAACCGATATTGTGACAATAGAATATTGAAATAAAAAAAAGACAAATGCCTGCCGTTGTGCACCCTTTTGTATTTCCGAATGATTGTTGCGGAACAACTATCGTTAGCAAATTGCACGTATGCATACAAAGCCGGAATAGAAAAAGCATGGAAAAAGGGAAAAAGCTCGGTAAACAGGGAATTCATTGCGATAGTTTGCAACAGTTAACAATGCAGCATTTCGAGCTTTTGCTGCATACAATCACTATGACAAAATTAGGTTCTATAACGATTATGACGTTAGTAGATGGTCGTTACGATACATTTTATAAATAACAGGATTGACACAAAAGAGTTTAAAAATATTGTATACATTACGTCTTATATAAATATATAGGTATATATTAATCCCGAACTAATATTAATACTATTAATCTTTGAATTTTCTCCAAGTCTTTTTAAAAATTTAAAATAACTAATTAAAATTTAACGAAAAAAACTATAGTGTTTTAGTTTCAATTATAAAATTTCGCACTAATTCATTACTCACCATAATGATGTCGAACGGGGCTGCGGTAGATGAGGCCGTGAGTCAATCTGAAAGCAAATTAAAATAATTTTTAAACTCATATATAATTATCCAAGATAGCGCGAAATAAGCATCTGCAGCTTCTCAACAAATAAAACGACAATGATTTTCAATTATTGAAATCAGATTTTGCCGCTAATATTCATACAAGCATTTAAAGTTAATGATATTGATATTTGTCAAAGCGCTATATAACGCGATGACGTTAAATCATCACGAATAAGTAAATGGTTGCGAGGAGAATACAGTATACGAGTAAATATAAATGTTTACCAAATCAATGCACAGCTGTCGCAATTGTTCCATTGTTTCGAGATCACATACGCATACGCGAATACGAATCAGCGGGAGAAAGAACGCGGCTTACAATCATTCGCGCTAACCACTGATCACTTACGCGACACTGCCGAGATTCGCATTTTGAAAAACGCAAACAAAGCGAAACGAAACGCAACGATTGTTCGCCTCTGGCGTTTGACGAACGTCCATGTTCGTTACGCGCGCGCTCGATACGTTTTCCGCGCGCATGAAAAATTCGAATCGCGTCAACTACATATGCCAAAGCGCCGGCGGTGACGTCACGTACCGAGCTCGGCAACTCGGCGGGCATCGCCGGAGAGATTCGACGGCCGCGGAACGAACACCGTTAATTGCCATCCAATTGACATCTTACTCCGACGCTCCCGTCGCGAGCATACAACGCGAAAACGATGAGATACCCGATAATTAGCGCGCCGATGAGGGGCGCCGACTCGTGCCGGAGCAACGCTCACGCCGCCGGTTAGCGAAACACAAGATCGCACCCGCGATCTAACCACGAAAGCGCGTCGCTTGATTCGGCACTCCCGACGCGCGTTCACGGATATCTGACTGCGAGTCTCGATCACTACGGTTCACTACACACCACCTGATGCCAATAAAAGCTAAAGAAGAAGAAGAAGTCGAGCGGATGGACGCGATGAGATCCCGGCGTCGTCGTCTTGCGGCGAAACGAGAGCGCGCGGCGTGAGTGAGCGACGCGAGTGATCGACAAGGACAACCGCACGCCTAGGTGCACAGCGGAGCCGGCGCCGCCGGTGGTGACGCGGCGCGGGGGTGACGTCGGTGATACCGCGCGAGTCAAACGAAAAACCGTCGAGTCACGTGACGCGCCAGTGACGCGCGAGCATCGTAATAAAATCGCGACCGCTACGCGTTGCCGCGCTCAACGTAACACGAACATAATAACGACGGCCGATCACTGCCGCGTGTCTTAATGCGATTAATACATCAAACGCGCTCGGCCGTTCGAACGATGTTCTCGATGCTCAATTAGGCACGCGATGCATCTCTCACGGTGGTGAGTGACGCGCGATACGCCGCTCACGCTCCCGTCCGGTCGGATAATTAATCTCATTTCGCTCGGTAATCGCTAATTTCTTTTTTATCCGTTGTTTTTTTTTGCGTGCCGTGCGAATAGTAGCGATTATAAATGACGGACTAAATTTTTCGACAATATAAATGTAATAGTGGAGTAACAACGAATCGCCACGTTTTGCTTCGTACTATGTTAATTTCAGATATTTAAAAGCAGTAGCACTTTAACACATCGCGTAAAGTGAACAAACGATTGAAAATATCTGACAAAACGTAAATGTTATTTTTATTGATTTATTTTATTTTACATTATTCCTAATATGCGAGAAATAATTTATCGAAAAATCGAGCTTTGAGAATATTGATTTGATAGCGTTACAGCATATTACTATAATATTAACAAAGTTAATAAAGCCATGAATAACTCTAGCTCGTTTTCCGAATGTGTGACATACCAATTTTACTTATAATTTATATTATAGACTTTTGAAACTTGGCTTTTTATCGAAACAAGTATAAGTGTATTGAAGGAAATCGTAATTATCGAAGAAGCACATGTATAAATATTAACTGAATAACGATTAATTACATTCGCAAGGCGCGTTAATTACATTCATCGAAACAGAAAAATCGATCTGCAATCACGGTACTTAAACGCGAATCAAAGGTACATAGCTAGCAAGATAGTGCCTGCCCTGAAAGTCTATAATTCACGCCTATAACTTCGAGGTAGACTGAGTCGCTAGTTCAAGCCGATCCACACTGATTTATCGTCGCGTATCGACTACGGGCATCACCAGCATATGTTCGCGTCGAATCTCCGAACGAAACGACGGATGATTGTGGCGTTGCGTTAATTGGGGTACGGTAATAAGCTCATTTAAGTTCGTAGGCGGAAGGATCTCTCATATACCTTATCACTTACGCCGTCATAATGGTACGTAACGAGCAGCAACATACGCCTGTTTACATAATAATTTGCGAATAGGGGTTTCTAAACTTTGTTCTACTACGTTCTTTAGCCGGAAGAGTTGAAAGGAAACGAGAAAGCCGAACTCGGGACAGTTGGAACAACAAGCCTAATGCGTACAATTGTGACCGTGTCTTCGTGCCGTGAATAAGTAAGTGAGTGTCCATGTGGGAAGCGTCGAAAATGACAGAAGTAGGTAAATATAACGACAGCGCATCCAGAACTGTGAGTACGTTCATTCATTTATTTATTATACTGGCGGAATTAATTGTTCGTTTGCGTCCAACAATTTATCATCATTGCATCATGACGATTGCGCTTTTCGGCAGACGATTGCCGTGTTTCTCGATACGCGTTTTCGCAAATTAAATAATAAAGAATAAAAGCTGTCGACCGGCCTTCGTTCCGCTAACGCATCAATCTTTTATCGCATTAATCTTTTATCTCATTCTCTGTTTTGAGTAAATGTAAACTGACGATAATTCTTTCAACTTTTATATGCAATAGATTTGATAGAAACCGCTCTTTTCATTAGCTCCATTTTATTCCATTGTAGATATAACGATAACTATTATTTTATTTAAACGTTGGAACATTGTTCTTTTTTATTATACAATCTAAATCGAGAATGTGTCTGCCTTCCATAATATTTACGTTTATTTGATTTTTTCTGTTTTTACAGCATTCGCGTATATCTTAATTCTCTTTAAATATATCATCAGCACTATTCGATATATGTATATCTAAAAGCCGTATTTACAAAGCGTACAAATTGCAATTAAGTTATTTTGTAAAGAAACAAACGCAAACAAGAAATGGAAGTAATCAACCGTGTCATCAATGTACCATTGACATCGTAGATATCGTCATAGATCCTATTATCTGCCGTCAGAACGGACCCTTCGTTAGAAATTCATAGTTTCCCCGTAGCGGAAATATCTCTCAATTTGCGGGGCGATTTAAACGATATTTCGAAGCGAAAAGTGAAGACAGGCTTGAAAGGGACGGTCGAAATTCGGCATTTCGTTTCGATGAGCACGCGAAAGAGCCAAAGTTTGATACACGATCGGAATTAGTCTTCACAGAGAGAGTTAGAACTTCGAAGTTAGAACAACAAATTCTCTTCGTTTCCTGTCTCTCTCTCGTCGCGGCGGTTATAGCAGCGAGAATACCTGTTATCGTTATATGATGCGGAAAAATTGACTGGAAACCCTCCTTCGCTATGTTTTTCCTTCTTTTTATGTCGTAGATGGCGATATACTACTATTTTCAGTACAGAAATATTTTCTTATCACAAGCAGACTTTCTTTCTCAAAGCGATTTTCACAAACATATTCTCGTTTTTTTTTTTTTTTTTATATTTTTCTATCATCAATTACTTGCTGTAGCCTTTTACTTATACCAATTTATTTTGTGTTATTTATTTCCAAAAAGTACTTGATGTTTTTGATATAATAAAATAATTTGTGAAGACACATTTAATATCATGATTATTTGCTCACAATTGACTTGCACTACATTTTATTAAAATATTTAATAACTACATTGCAGTAAATTCCATCTTAATAATTAATATATTAGCGTCTAACTTGTATAACTTTATTAATAATAACATTTAAAACAAATTTCAATCCATTATTTCTAAAATAATATCATCAGACGATGGATTATTTAAATGAGCAAGACAAGTTGACAGATAAGAGCTCACGGAAAATATTTTTCCATTTCACGTCAACTCTCACGCGAATATCTCACGCACCCTAAAGTCCCATTTTATCCATGCGTTTTCATCTCTGCGACTCGTGGAGCATCCTAGAAGGAATTTAGGGTGCCGTACACGTTCGTTTTTCGTTAACCCATAAAATCTCGTAACGTTCATGGAGGAAATAGCCCGTTACAGGGGCTATCGTCCCCGAAAAAAATGTCAGACTAGCTCCTGTCCATCGGCCAGCATATGTAATGGATTAACCTATTTTTATGTAATGCGTCACGACGTGTCACGCGTGTCACATTTGCATATCGTATGTGTCGCCGCGAGTTTCCCATAGATATGCGAGTGCAATCAATCAAATCGTGTTGGATCTCCGGATTTTCCCAGCGGGAGCGGAACGACGAATGGATGGCTCGATTTAAAAACGAGTTATATTGAAACGTGTCGAAAGCATCCCTTGAATTTTTTGCGAATACTCGAAATTCGTATGAGCATTTTGTTTAATTAATTCGTTCGGCAACATTTTTAAAAAACGATAACCCTTAATAGATAAAATATTTGTTTATTAAATTATTATTTTAAAAAAAGTTTATTGAGATAAAGCGTATCATAGTTAATATTTTATTATTAACATAATTAAAGAACAATTGCAAATATGATACGCGATAAGATCGAATATTCAGCAAATTTTCATACGCTCTTGTATCACATTAACGTAAATATTTTTTAAATATATATACAAAATAATTTTATATTTAAATATTATTTTTAAAAAGAGGTAAATAAATGCAGAAATACGATATAATAATGACAATGACCAATTTAACACGTGCAAGATAGTGAGTAATAAGCACATCCTTAAATTTCAAGTAAAACACGATTGCAATTAATAGGGAAATAAAGATACGGGAGGATCATTCAGTTAACGACTATTAGTATTAATCGAATTTAGGGGCAACCGTGCGAGTATA